TTAATCAACCATAGTAAGTGAATACTTTCAATGAAACACAAACATAAAATATGCATAATCATTAATTGTGTTTTAAATACATTTCACTATGAAATAAGTTTCAAATTAGGTAATCCGTTAAAGTGTATATGATGGGGATCTTTAAAGGGTTAAAGTATCTATGTTTGTTTGATTTTGTTTTTTACTTATGATTCTCTATGTTCTTTATGCCTTACATTAACGGTATATATAGAAGAAGATTTAAATGAACAGTGATTGTTTTTTCTAAAGTAATAACTTACACAATTGTAATTATTCAAATGGTGATACAATGATAATAGTGAAAGTGAAATAATGAAATAACCTTTACTAAGTATTATAAAATGTAATAAATAGCATACTCTATTATCTTTCATGTTTTATCATCATTATATTTAAGACTTTCAAAAGAAAAGAAAAGAAAAGAAAGAAACAACACAACTTTTATTTAATGTTATTCATATGACATTTCGGAAACAGGACAAAATGGTTATGTAATAAAATTCTCTTAGATATAAATATACTTAATTCGACAAAATGTTTACATATTATCAATATGAAATAACGAACATGTTATATCTTGAATGTTGATTTCTTGATATATATCGCGTATAACAGAGCACTAGAACACCGAAACCCTTCCAAGTCGCAATATGAAGGCAGAAGACTGATGAACGGAATATTATTCTAAACAGTGTCATTTATAGTACAAAATTGTCAGGTATTTATAGTTTTTAGTAAGAACGAAATCATCATTACATTTCTTCAATCCGCATACAGGGAGATATTAGAATTATCCAAATGGGAAGCTACATGTAGAAATTCTAGAATATTCTTCCGAAAGGTGATTGGAAGGAACATCTTCGGCTCCGTCGGAGCCTCTTACAGCTTCCTTGAGTTCACCCGAGGTCCGTCTTCACAGAACATTTATCTGGATTTTTATGATACATATGTAGTGAACAGAATACCAGTGAGAACAATCGAATGTATTTGAGCACATCATTACAGAGCATCTCAATCAAATCTGAGAATCATATACTAAATTGTTAATTTGAAAAATATCAATCCATCATATTAAACTTGACTGTTCCTATTGCAAACATCAATCCATTGTCTCAGATTTCATTGTTCATACGTTTTCATACTGATTGCATTGTGTTCCCGTTTTTTTCCTCATCGACCTTCTACGGAAATAGATTCTATGCCTGACCACCTTTATATACTACTTGTGTGGATAAAAGTAACCCACACCATACATATACACGTAGACATATATGTAAGTTAGCCATGTATATTTCAATAGAGTAAATATATATACAATTTATCAGTATGAAGATTTGTAGAGATTGTAATATTTTGACATACTAAGATGAAATGGTTGTCCAATGCCTCTAGATTTTCAACGATCTTTTAGTTTAAATCGACTGGTGAATTCAATTGTGAAAATATACAGTTTAGTCAAATTCATATACTAAGTAAAAGATCGCCTTGCTAAACAATCAGTGGATTGATGTTGGTTGTTAAAAAAACAATCTCAAATGAGTATTTTGGACAAATCATTTCGTATGAAAACATATATTGGCTCATAGTATTCCTGAACTAGTAAAGTATCATACCTTGCATCATTTATATTCTATACATTTTGACTGACAAACCAATGAAAATGAAATGAAATGTTTACCTATATAGCATTCCATTTCTTATTCTATGCTAATTGTCCTTTGAAATAAACTTATTTCAGGAAGTATGCTAGTTTAACGCTATAAATCACGTAATATTGAATAGTCCGATTTCAATTAGTTCATAGTGATAATCAAACTATAGCAATCAAGCATATTGTGATGTCTAATTTAATCGGGTTGACTTTATGGGACAGTATGTTTTCATGTTGGGTGGTTAGAGACCATGATACTCAAGCTATATATCTAGGTTTTATTCTGGTTGACAGATCAGCATTATGTTTAATCTTTACAGTACCGACATTTCCCCTAGGGTTCCAACCACTTCCACAATATGAGTTCTTATCACTGGAACATTTTGACAGCAAACGATTTGTTATTGAACTATTGTGTTTACACACTGATAAAATCACTTGGTTATAATCAGTGTCAATCTTATGGACATATTACACCAAAGAGAGTGATCACAACGTGGTTGCTCGATAATAATTGACAGAGCATACAAGACAGAAAGCATGAGATCACTTACTACTAACTGTTCAATTAATGTGTCACTATTAAGTAATCCTTGAATTTTTCAATTAGTTTAAAGTAATTACAGAATTCAGCTACTTTTTCTTTACTTTTATGTAAAACGCCCCGGTTTGCCTTGATTTATACTTGAATATTTCTAATGAGATTATATTTTAACACTGAACTAAGGTCTTACCAGACGTATTATTAAGATTTCAACGACCGTTGTTCAGGAAATATATTTCTGCCAAATTTAAAATGGATACTTCCTATATTTATGATCATATTAAATTATTTATCAATGTTATGAAATACAAGATTTTATAAGTGCTATAAAGAACAGTGATGCTATTATTATGTGCTAGTCAATTAATCCTGCTGATAAGTTTTGAATTGAAATGAAATACTCACTGGAAACTCCACTGATAGTCATTTCCATCATATTTCATTCTAAAAGACTACTAAAACATACTTTCAAACAAACTAGGATTTTAGATAAATGATTAATCTGACCCAGACAAGTCAACAATACTAGAATTGTAAAATCTCTACAAATAATAATAAAGGAATTTCTATGGTACAATTCATAAGTCGATCTAAGCCAAACCATCATTGAAAACCTGAAAGCACTGGACAGTTGTTTCGTCCTAATATGTGAAAATTCTACAATCTGCGTTGAATGATGGCTCAGTGGTTTGTAGATTAAGCGTTCGCGCACGGGGCCGAGGGTCCTGGGCTCGAGTCCTGAGCACAAGAATATGGACGTTCACAGCTGAGAAGTCTTTCACTAGGACAAAATTGTCGTTCAGTACTAACAGGTTTTCAGTGGTGGTTTAGCTTACATTCAACTATTAAAATTACTACATTATCAACAAATCACCGTTCCAATATTAAAGAAATTGTTACATGTCGAAACAATTTAGTAATAATTTAAGTTTTTAATTCAAGATATAAAATTTTATTCTCATGCGAAATGTAAATTAATGTAGTTGAAACACTTGTGAACAATTTCCAAGAAAAAAAGTATTTCTGACATGTTTTGGAAATGATAGAAAAGATGGAAAGTATTAAAAAGAACGTTATACAACGTATATTTTTATGTATTAGATTTTCTTAAGTACTTATTTGTTAAATTATTATTCACATATTCAAAACTTGCATGATTAGTTGATATGTTACATAAGCCCAAATACCGTTGCCCAGACTCACAATGTTGACTGATATACTAGTAGTAGTAGTAGTAGTAGTCGTAGTAGTAGTAGTAGTAGTAGTAGTAGTAGTAGTGATAGGTTGAAAAAACATTAGTCAGGTTTAACATACACCTAACATAAGTTCATGTAGTTGTTGACCGATGATTTGAACCATGTCAAGAGACTTCAATTTCCTTGTTAAAGTTACAAGGGTGATGATGATCTGTGGTTAAATGTCTTGGATTGCATAGCTCAAAAAAAATTTTTAGCTTCATATTTATCTATCCTGTTTAGAATACACTTTATACGTTTGATTCTTAACTATAATGCAAAATGCTGATATTCAAATTCCCTTTTCCATACCACTAACTTCCTCTCTAACTCCGCCTGGAGTCCCTCCGAGGGCTACTGCCGGTCCCAAGCCCGGACAAAGGGGGAGGGTTGTGCATGGGGTTAGCGACCCCATCCCGTAGAAAACTAACTCTTTAAAAAAACGCCAAGTAACTTCCTCTCTATGATATGATTAAAAATGTAGTCATTTAGTACCATATCTAATTGCTCTAATATATTTCCTAAGTTGTTTGAATTAGAAGTTATTTATATCCTCACAACCTTGAATATTAGACGTAAATATGCTTACTATTAAATTTTAAAGTATAACTTAACATGAATTTAAGTATTAAGATTACTAGTGTACTGTAACTAAAGTAGCGTATTTCATGTAAAAGCAGTGAACTATTATCAACTGTGATCTTTTTTTGTTGTTGTTGTTCAACATGTGAATGGGAACAATTTAGTGTATTGATTTTATAAAATTAATCAATCACTAATGTTGCTTTCTATAAAATATTTACACAATTTTTATCAAAATACAAAAATAAATTTCAATAATAATTTTACACCTATTTTATTTTTACTTTAAGTTTAACCTCTATGATATAACATACACAATGAAACAATACTGTGTCCATTACTAAATATAATATCACATAGAATTTGTTTTTTATAGTTAGATTATTATGACCACCCAATCTGTTTTTAATAGTTGAATTTTCCAGATGTATAGAACAGATGTTAACTAATTCATCATATTGAAAATATATATGAAAAGTAACATAGATTCATTAATAATCACACCTTTTTAGTAGCAAAGTAAATATTTCTAACGATTTCATTATAATCAATGTTGTCGTTTACTAATATATTTCATTAAAATTATTGAATCTTTCATTTTAACTGATATTTCTCAATGGTTAAGATCATGAGTCAGTTGAAACTAGACCACCATGAAAAACGTGGAAGCACTGGACGGCCGTTTCGTCCTATTGTGGGACTAATCAGCATTGCGCACTGCTGATTAGTCCCACAATAGGACGAAACAGCCGTCCAGTGCTTCTAGGTTTTCCATGGTGGTCTAGCTTCAACTGACTCATGATTTTAACCATTGAAATTACTATAATATCCACAAAACCCATCTGATATTAATATTTCTCAATTAAAATTTCAATGGAATTATTCTACATCAATTATAATAATGTAATATAACACAATTACATAAAATAGAATGATGAACTAGAATATAAGAATAGTTGTAACTTACCAATTGTAATTAAGGTCATAGGAAATAACTTATGACTAATATAACGAAAATAATTTTTAATCTGAGTGGTTGATCATGTATACAGCATATGTTTGTAATGCCTAGATAAACATGAAAATAAGTGAAAATTAGAACTGCCTTGACAAAATCTCAGATATATATATATATATATATATATATATATATATATATATATATATATATATATATATATATATATATATATAGTAGTTATATTAGTTTTCATGAGCATGACCCGTAACTTATTTTAAAAAAAACACCTTGTAAAATAAAATTCATTTGAATATTGGATGCTTCTCTATAAATTTGAGAGTGTGATAAGAAGATGGAAATTATCAGAACTACGTGATGTATATCAGCACAATAGATTTCGAACAATTTGATCACATATTACGTACTTGCTAAGAACATTTATATAAAAAATTATAGGTCAAGCAGACTAGAATTGGAAGGTAGGAGGAGACGAAGATAATCAGCAAAATAATATGAAATACAATGTGAAACGTCATCACTTTGGATAATAAGCTAATGTTACCAGGATAGGTTTAAGATGAGACTATTTCAAATATAATTTTTCACATATAATGACTTCTCTATACTCGGCGCTCAATTACTGTCAAACTATTCGTTCTAATCTTGACGAATATTCGTATGAAAACAAACTGTTTTTGAATACTTAAAGAAGGTTTAAATTTTCGTAGGACTAAAACTTCAATAAACCTTAGTATACGTTGTTTTGCACTTTTGTGCAACATCACAAAAACCGTATTAACATCAACCTTATGATCTGTTTCGATTATGTGTTTGACAATAGAGGATGATAGATGTTTATTATTTATTCTTATTGGGTTATTTGATTTTAACAAGTATATATGTGATCAGATTGTTCGAAATGTATTACGCTAATCTATCACATAGTTCCGATAATCTTCATCTTTTTATTACACTATCCAAATTTATCAAAAGGAACCAGTTGCTTTAAGCTTCTCTATAAATTACTTTTCAATGTTATGAGAGATTTTATTCAGTTTCAAGCTGAAAACCAATAAGCTGTGAAACATGCAAAACAAAAATATTTAGACGATTACAAGAAACTCTTCAGAAACTTGACCTCCATAATTATGTATACAAAGTTAATCTATAATTCATTCTTCTTTAAGTGGAAAGTTAAATAGTTGACAGCAAGAAAAGAAAAACAATAAACACTAAACCAATACAGTATATGATGTAAATTGAGTAAACTGAGTAAACTTTTATTTACAGGATCAAAAGTACTACTTAACGTCATGTATCAGAAGTTGATGATTAAGTACACTGTGTTATCATTTGTATAGAATCAGTAGTAATATGATTAATTTTCGAAATTAAATTCACTAAAAGTCACATTCCATAACATATTGTAATCAGATAAGAATAAAGAATTAGAATAAGGTACATGTGTTCTCGTTTAGGATTCATCATTGCACATCACTTACATGTAAATATAGAATCTTCATTCCTTGATATTTGAGTATGATAACAAATGAACACTTTTAGACCACATGGTTAACAAGTAATAATTAGTCAATTTTTCAACTTCATTTCATTTTGTCCATTATTCGGTACTCACTAATTCAAAATTTCATTTCATTTATTTAGAAACATAAACATTGGTACAAGGAGGCACTAAATGTATATGCACCACACAAATCTCATTTGATTTGTGTGAGGGCTGAGATACTGCCCCGGTGTCCGAACCAAAGCAGGAACCACACCCAGAGCCTTTTACCTAAAGGTCTGGTCCATAAGGTGGTGGAGCATCGTGAGGAGATGCAGTCCCATGGTAGCCGGTGACCAACGGTTGGTTCATACACCATTTGTTTCCTCAGGATCCTGGAGCTAATGTACACCATTGGTTTGGAATCAGGGTTTTCCAACTCTACTAGATGGACTCTCCATGTCCATCAACCCGGTTAAAGCGCCGGACATTCGCTTTTCGTTTTCTCAATTTTGTAAACAACACCCCCACCACGAGCAGTCAGTGAGTAGGACTTTCTTTCAAAATGATACTCTTATGATAATCTCACTTTCTTAGATTTAACATATTCATTTAACTAAAACTCATACTGAATGATTATTTTTTATAATTAAAAACAAAACAAGTCTTATCTATGAACATTCAACTAATAAATAATAAATAACAAACATAATTCACTTTAACATAACATACCATAGTAAACTTCATCTATGAATGAACTGACTATTAGATGTAGTGACGCTTCTCTTTTCTTTTTAATTCAATTAAATAATACAATAAACAAGAATGAATTATAGTTTATATTATCATTATAAAATCCCATATACATTATTATATATTGTTAAAATAAGTAATAATAACTTTTAATAATAATATTCCATTTAATATAATTTAATATTTTTCTCGGAAATTAATTTAATTGGTTAATTTAACTGACCAATAATAATTTAGTTTATTGGTTATAGTAATATTATTTAAATAAAATTTATTACCATTGTTCATATAAATGACTATACTAGATTATATGATGAAACTCATTATGTATGATGGTAAAAACAGGTAATTTGTCTAAATATGATAAAGGGCACATAAATTTTGATGGAGTTTTGTTCTCTGATCTGGATGGTTTGGTCGTGGAGCTTCCATCTTTCTTCTGAACGACATCATCAGCACAAACTTCAGATAGAAGTGAAGTGTTCGAATTGCTTTATATGTGTTTCACAGCTTGTTTTGTACACCTCGATGCTGATTGGTTCTGATTGACCTGAAATTTGTCATTGTTTACTCAGAGAACAAAACTCCATCAAACTCATCCACCTGAGCTACAAATGTTCTCCACCATCTCAAAATCATATGGGCACATAAATATATATATATATATATATATATACTACTGAATAACTTTAGTGAAAAAAGCCTAAAATGTATGCAAGTGGCCGAACAAACAACAACAAAACAATTGGGTTTTAGCTGTCAATAAAATTCAAACCAATAATTTGTTTAATGGCTCTGAATTGTTTATATCAGTTATTAGATTTCGTTATAATTTAGTTCCAAATTGTGAATATATCATCAAAAAGTATTATTATATGACATTTTTATATAATGTGTGGATTATTTTGAATTCTGACCTTATATCAACTGAAGAACTATGAAAAATTAGAGAAAACTGTATACTTGTTTTATTCTTTAGCGCAAAATCCCGTAATTAATAATTAGATTTTCATTAGTGACTAACTGTTAGATAAGGTTCACGAGATATTCTCTCAAATACAGTAACTCATGAACTCAAGTACATTATTAGTGAGATATTTATTATCTAAGACAGTAGTTTTGCTGTATAGCAAAAAATTTAAGGTTGAATATGTGAGTTACTTCACTTCTATCCAGTAATTCATTAATTTCATGTTAATTGTGCTATACGTGATGATCACTGATTCATTCATCTTTGAAGTCATAAGTGGGCACAACTAATCCGTCGCAAGTATGGTGAGTAAATTTGTTCAGAAATCTGTCGAATTCCGACGATTTCCTGATTTATTTTTATTATAAAAATTACAGTCAAACTGTTATAATCAGTAATCTTGTAAATAAGTATAAAAAAATTGTGTAAAAGAAAAACACCGATATTATCAAATCAAGTCTGTTTTCAAGAAATTACTCCATATGAACAACCCTTCAATAACCCTAAGCTTTCAGTAGTTGTCTAATTAGAATCAGTTTCTGACGTGTATTATGGTTAGAATTCAAAAGTTCTATAAAACATCCATCACAATCAGATTTTACTTATTTAGACACATAAACATTCATACAAATAGGCATCAAATATATATGCGCCACATAAACCATTCAATTTGTATGAGGCTTGAAATACTTTCCGGGTGCTCAAACCGAAGCAGGTGGTTTTCTTAGGAAGCCACACCCGGAGCCTTCGTTCGGAAGGTCTGATTCAGTGGAGCAACGTCAGTAGATGCAGTCCCATGGTGACCGCTGACCAACAATTGGTTCATATGCCATTTGTTCTCTCAGGATACCTGAGCCAATGTACACCATTGGTTTGGAATCATGGTTTTCCAACTCCCCTATATGAACTCTACATGTCCACTAACTCGGTTAAGTTGTCGGACATTCGCTTTTCGTCTTCTCAATTTCGTAAACAACACTCCCATAGCGAGAAGTTAGTGAGTAGGATTTTTCTGGCAGTTGTTGTATGCACATGGTCATGTGAGAGCGTTTCAAGAGAGAGGGCAAACTCTTCTCACACTGGACTATACCTGGGCATTTGTGGGGGGGGCATCTCAATCAGAAGAAGAGTCTTTAAAATGTCTTCATCAACAGTTTACTTTTTTTTCAAACAAACAAATGCAGTTCTCTATGGTCATAGAAACTAAAATATAAACTAAATAAATTTAAATGTTTTTTTTTTAATTTTCATCAAAATCTGTTATTTATTAGTTCTGACAAGTACCAAGCATTAAAAAAATAAACAAAACGTTTTGTTTCTTCAGAACAATATGACATTTAAAATGTATACCAATACATTGTATACATTCATTGGTGTAATTCAAAAAGCCTTTATATTTCTGTATTATTTTATGGTTATTCAACTAACATATTCAATGTATCGAGGGGATATTTGATCTTTTACCCGGAACTATTTGAATGGTTAATAAAATGAACAAAGAATAAAAAGAAGTGATACACAATTTAAAAAAAAATTTTTTTTCCACCCTTTTGTTTAAAACAATTTTATATGACAGTTTTGTTCACTGAGGGAGGGGGGTAGGATTTGATAAAATGTGTTTTGTTATGATTTTTTTACGTTGTTTTAATAATGATTCTTACCTACTGAAAAAATAGGTAGCGACTTTCTCGATTTTTAAAAAAAAAATTTATTTAAAGATACTTATTAGCATAACTTGAAAAACATATGCAAATGTAGCCAAAAACGTATTTAATTATGATTATGTAGATTTTCAGGTGAATTAAACACCATCCAGTGATTTTTACAGTTTCGGAAGTTCTATTCTGTAAAATAATCGTACAGAAAATTACTTACTTAATTACGCATAGGTCGCCCACCAGCACTATCCATCCAACCCTGTTCTAGGTAATCCTTTCCAGTTCTTTCCACTTCCTATTCATCCTTTTCATGTCTGCTTCCATTTCCCAATTCAGTGTGTTCTTCGGCTTTCCTTTTCTCCGTTTTCATTCAGGTTTCCATGTTAGAATTTGTCTCGTGATGAATTTTGATGATTTCCTCAATGAGTGTCCTATCCATTTTCAATGTTGTTTTCCAACTTCCTTTTTAGACAGAACCTGGTTTGTTTTCCCCCATAGTAGGCTGTTACTGATGGTATTCTGTCAGCAGACATTCAGTATCTTATATAAACAATTGTTTGTAAATACTCATACATCTTTGATGATGATTATGGTAGTTCTCCACTTTTCAGCTTCATACAGTGTTACTAACTGTCTTGACGTTCGTATTGAAGATTGTGAATTCGATGTTGGCTTGGATACAGTTGTTTTGAGTTCCAAATGTTCTTCAATTGTAGGGATGCCGTCCTTGCTTAGACAATTCCCGCCTTTACGTCTGCATCAGATCCTCCTCGTCCATTGATGATGCTAACTAGATACGTGAATGTTTCCACCTGTCCCAGAGTTTCTCCATCAATTGTGATTGTGCTGGTGTCCTCTGGGCTGTATCAGATAATAATCACCTAAAACCAAGAATATTTGAGCGAATCATTGATTTCAATAAAATTTTCATCAGACTTTTATGTTATAAGGCATATCAGTAAATAAAACAGTGTTATATTTTCTTTTTAAAAAATGGTGAACTTTTGCATCTGTTATGCAGCAAATACTTCAAATTGTGTCATTTGAGAAAGGTTGCAATGATTTGTCGTAGAAAACAATTTACATATCAAGTTATATATAAATAAAAACGTGTAGTCATTTTTAAAAAAATGCCATGTTCACTATATCTAAAAGCTTCCTATACTAGGCTTAAGCTAGCATATTACGCAATTCAGAAATGATTACAAAGATCTGCCATTGAAGAGAGGTATTAATTGCATAAAACCTAGAACTCAAACAGACATATAAATGGATTTATTATGAAAGTGCAAACATGTAATTCTTTTACCTGGTATTGTTTACTTGAATTTTCCCATTGATGTTTAGGACTGCAATTGATCAGTCTCTTATTGGCTCATGTGCATACTGTGCGTATTGCCTCGATATTGCCTTAACTTACTAGTATTATAAGTAAAGATGGATAGTGGCTAGCATTACAATCGAGGATGCGCGTCTCGTCCTATTTGGAACTCGTCAGCTGTGTGTGCCTTCATCTCAGAGTTGATGTTCATTCTGGGACTCGAACCTAGTACCATTCGCTTCAGACGCGATTGCGTTATCCACTCAGATAATGAACCCTGATAGCCACTTTCTTGTACGAGCGAAAGTACTGAGTTCGAGTGCCGGAATGAACATTAACTCTGAGATGCAGGAACATCCGGCTGACGAGTCCCAAATAAAGCGAAACGCGAGTCCTGGATCGCACTGCTAGCCATCATCCTTCCTTGCTTATCATCCAATTCTTTCTTACAAATAATTACCACAACACTGCTGTTTTTTCAATAATATCATTACTGAAGATTTGTGATCTCAGATATATACGCTTTGCAAACATAATACAAGATCCCTTTTATTAAAAAAACAACAGAAATAACATCTAAGACGGACTGCAAAACGTTGTCATATCTCACAAGATAATAGCGTACAACTTGGGTATTGTAGTCTGACAATCTGTTATATTGTGGAGGATCTCATAGAACGTTAGCCTTCCGTAAGTCCACACGAAAGCGACCATATATAAACAGAGATGATTAAATAAAATTCTCTACTTAATAGCTCTGGTCTGAAGTTGTGATGCCTGTAACTACTTCCAAAACGTGGATGTAGACTAAAATTTCCGTTAGTTTACTGAGGTAATCTGATGGTGGTTATTCGGTAAAAGAAAAGACAATATCTTCAAATACTCTAAAGACTGTGTTTGTACAAAATTAATAGAAATCGCTAACTTGCCAATGATTTTAAACTGTTTCATTAGCTAACGTATTATTTTATCTAATTTCATATAATTTCCTCATATCTCAGTCGGAAGAATAGATAAGTCACCTTACATGTAGTATTATTATTTGTTCAAAGTTAGTTTGCATCACAAACTGATAATAATTGGAGAACCACCAGAAAACAAATAATGTTTAGAAAATGTTTCCTCACCATTAGTACACATCAATAACCCAAAACAGGACTGAACCTAGGATCATGTTATCCCTTGGCAAACACTATAAACGA